CTCCACTGAAGTCTGGGCCTGTCCATCCACAAACGCTATGCATCTAAACTTCTTGTTTCCAGGACTTTGAAGGGTGACAGTCAGAGTTATATCACAAGAAGACTCCCTTTTTATTGGTTGTTCTGAGTCCTCTTGTATCTCAGCGCCGGATTCATCCACCCATGTCAGTCTGACCTTGCGTTGATGTGTATAGCAATGCCACTGCTCTATGTAGGTGAAGTAAATGCACCGCAGCAACACTGTTTTGCCAGGCATGAGGATTAACTCTGGGATGGCTGAGGGGGTTGAAAAATGTATTTACTGTTTGTTCATCTCACAGCCTTCTCATTATCATGTGAAGTATACCATATCAACCCACACATCAGTAACACTTTAATCTTGAGAGTACTTACTGTTGAGAGGTGTAAAAACCTCTGGCAATTGTTGGCAGCGATGAAGTCCAACATCCTCCGCTGTGATTTGCTGAGTGCATTTTGAGTCTTCTGATGTAGCTGTTTTGATCCCTCCATCACTGACAATAGCAAAGTAATGACTTGTTTGGCGACTGCTGAGCTGCCGGACAGGAAAGCAGACTAAACCTTCCTCACATGGAGAAGAACTTTGATAATTCTGTTCAGCAATCAGACCGTCTTCTCCATTTACACCTAGTGAAAGAAAAATAAAGAGGGTCAGTTTTTCTCCTAGATATTCCAGATAAGATAGTTAAACTATCACGAGATAAGATTGTTTCAATTACCTGTCGTGATTAAAGAAAACAACAGCAGTCTTATGACAAGGTGAGCAGCTCCAGCCATCCTGTGTGCAAATCTGTTAGCTGTGAAACATTTGAGATTCACTGTTTGTCAGGTTGTTAGTGCATTTGTCAACAGAAAAAGTCACTTCCTGCGTTTGCCAACATCCTCAACCTGCGTATGTTGAGGACATAGGTTTACTTTAAACTGAGAATAATGTTTAACAGGTTTACACATTTAAGAGCTCATGAAAGTCAGGGTTTAGTAATAGTACATCGGAATGGGGAAAACTTGCATGCCTTAAGAAGAAAACATTAACACAAAGGAGTTATTTGGGATCATTGAAAAAAAGGGTCCCATTCTCACAGGAAAGCTGTAATGTTCCAAACCTTTTGTTCATCTACAGATAAAAGCATTGATTCTGCAGGATGAAGGAACTACTCTGACATTTTAATAGACGATATAAAAATAAGTTTATTGATTGTTTATACAGACTATTTTTCTCCCTTTTAAGTCCTGTGAGAGGATATGACCTTAAACAAGATAAATGGATGAAGATGTTAGTAATGAGCAGATTCCAGCATCAAAGTGCAATCTTATGGGAGATGGTATTTATAATTTCAAGACAACAGCGCTGTATATTTCAAATATGTCTTTTGTCTGATTGATATTAAAATAATTTTCAAGGTGATATGGTATATAAGTAACTAAACTATTTAGTGGTACATTTAGATTCAGATACATTGCACAGTGCAGCACATTTGACCCTTGCACAAGAGGTGACGACTCACAACAGACCTCACAGAGAAAGCATTGTTTCATTACTTCTCTTAATAAGACTGAGCCTTTGGGATGTTCTTGCAGTTACCACTGAACAACAGCAGAGAGCACTATAGTTTAAACTACAGTTACTGATCCTTTTTCTACACTATTTATAATAAGATATGTCATTTTGTAACTCCCTGTGATCCTGTCTCACTGGAAGCTACACTTGAGGTTGGGTTTTTCAAAGTTATGCTTCTTTTTGAAAAAAGCTGTTCAAAAGTTACCGTCAGGCAATGTATCTAAAATTGCAATCTTCATTTCCTAGATGCCAGTGGCCCATTATTCTGTTTGGTGCTGACAAATTAAACTGCCACCAGATTCCCTTCAAAGCAACCCAAGAGTTTGATTACTTGTAAATAAATCCCAAAGCTCCTTATTTTCAATTTCTGCAATTTTCATGATCCAGTGCTGGTTCAATCGATTGGGCCGTTAATTTATCATGACATATAGGTACAGCCAATGCTAACATTACATTGTTGAATGCTTAAATGTCCAGATGTAGTCATAGATCCTTTAGGAGAACAACAGAATATGAGCTCATACATACAGTGTAATGTAATGTAGTTTAGTGTCTTGTATTGAAGCAAACAAGGAGATGCTTAATACTTTTTATTGAGTCATTTTTGCACATCTTCAGTGACAAATCTAGACACAAAGGTTATGTGTGACTGTTAGAAAAATATTATATACGTATGTCTTAGTTCTTTTGGTAAAAATCTCCTCAGCCAATCCAACTGATGAAATAGAGACTTTAAAATTGCTTAAACTTGGACATTCAGGGAACCACACAACAACCTTAGAATGAAAAATATATGTTATATGTTTAAATATATATATTTACATCAACACAATCTCACATTAATACAGTTACATCCTTCACATGTTGCATCAGCTGGACTAAACGTTAGCTGTCGAATCACCACGTTTCAGATGTAATCCACTTTACAGTCAGAGGGAACAGTCGCTGCTCAAGAGGTGGAATTATTGATTCAACAAAAAAAACATACCAGAAATGTCCCTTTGCACTTTCCTTTCTCCTCATCGCCCACAAACCAGTCTACAGCCATGGAGATGTTCAAGTTTCTCAGCAGCATTGTACAATTCAAACATTTTAAATGTAAGCAATACATCTTTTTTATCCCTCCAGTGCGAGTACAGGTGTGTTACATTCAAAGTACTGAAAGTGCATCCGTGACTTCCTGTTCTCCAACAGCCTTTCAAAGATAGTCTTCACACACACACAACAGTAGTATGACTTGTTAAGTTTACAACAAGAGAGTTTCAGTAGCACCTACGATTTACTGCCAACACATTAGCATTTTAGTAGGGGAGCAACTACGAATTTTAACAGATTTTCAACATTCAGGCATAAATAACAGAAAAATAAACATATATGATACGGACCACGCACATGCAGAAAGCAGACAAGGCCCACTCATTAACAATACCGTAACATTATTAAGCTAACTCGGAAAATAAATAAGCTGCAATAAAGCCCCAATCCAGAGGGGTAGGTACAGTATGGGTAGCCTACACCAAAGAAAAAATACCTTTTATCTTTATCTTCTAAACATTTTTAATAAAACGAAAATAAAGTGATAAGGGCCATACTAAATGAATTAGACATTTAGAAATCCCCTAGCAGTTTAAACAGCTTTGAAAAAAAGAACTGAAATGTATAAAAATGAAACAAAATAATGGAACACGTGAGGGGCAACATATATCCTGTTTCACTTCTGGATCAGGGCTTTAATGCCCCGGCCACACGAGGACGAAAACGGCTAAACGCATTGGATTAACGCAAACGCAAAAAAACTTCCGTCCACACGCAATAGTCATCCGGATAGTAGGCTTGTTTGAGACGCGTTGCGGCTCGCCTCGAAAGTAGACGAGAATAGCCGATCTCAGCCGGGGGAGGTCTCAAAAAGCTCGCCTGAAGTCGGACAGCTCGGAGTCGGCTTCGTCTTCTTCTTCTCTCGGTTATTTGGCGGATTGCAAACAACTTTAAGGTGCATACTGCCACCTCCGGAGTCGGCTTGACTCGGTTTGCATTTATAAAGAATGCACACATGTGTTTAATCGTTAATGTCAGATATGTACTAAGTAAATACATTTGTTCCTGCTCAAGATTAGATTCTACTTCATTGGTATTGCACATATTACAGGTACTGAGACAACAAAATGCAGTTTAGCTTCTAGCCAGGTGCAACAAGCAATAAAGTGAAAAGTAATGTACACAATAGACAGAATAAAATATAGAATGAATTGAATGATGAATAAACAGTGAGGGGTATGAATACACTAGATATCAGCCTGAGAGCAGTATGAACAGTGTGTATGAATATGCTAAGATATATAAAAGTATGAAAATGGTAAGCAGTGCAAGTATAGTATACAAATATAGATATTAATTTCATGATGATAAACATTGTGGAACAATGATGAAAAATGTGAATGGAAGTGGCGACGTAAAACTGACACAAAACAACAACAAACTTTTGCCGAGCCAATTGGAGTTTCATCAGCAGCACGTGGAAAAAAACCACCAATGAGCGCTCAGCTCGAGATACCAGCGAGTCGTTTCCCATTAAACATTTCGCTTCCGCAGCCCGTGGAGAGGAACTGCGCCGCCTCGCCGCGCCTCGCTCTCAAGGCTGCGGGCGTCTTTGTCCCGCGAGATTTCAACGTCTCATATAAGCGAGCCTCCAGAGCAAGTCGGACAAAATGACTAACCATCATGCAACGTACGAGCAAGACGTTGATCGAAATTGCGCAGGTCTGCGCAGGTCTCGCTTGTCTCAAACAAGCGAGACCGTTTAGCTCCAACCGCTGGAGAAGCTGCAGTACATATGCAGGAGCCTGTACGTGGCGCTGTAACCGCCTCCACAAAAGCAGCAAAGAAGAATGGTTGTCATGGTTGCCCTTCTGTTTATTCTCCGCGGTGGGGGCCGAGGGAACCGGGCAGAGTTTTTCGCTAGTCAACGTGTATTAAAGTTTAAATCTTCCGACAAAATTATAAAAGTGCCGGTCAAAGGTCTTCTTTGTTATTTATTGAGCTTTAAAACAAATGAATAACGACTCTATATAATATAATAATAAAATACACGGAGCCTCTCTTTTTCCTCCCTCTCTTTGGACAGCGCCAGTGTCTGTTTCATGCAGCAGCAGATCCAGTAATGAGTGACCCGGCCGACAGTAAAAATAAACATATTTATAACTAGTTTAGGTAGTTTGAGAGGTGTCTCCGTCCTGTCAGATTAGACTTCACTTGCGTTTATGTCCATATCGAGAGAAAGATAAATAATCTGAATTCAGTGTGCAGTTTACTTTGACGCGGGGGTGAGCCGCAGAGGTGGGGAGAGGTGGGGCTATTACCTCATCATTATCAGAAAATGATCGTATAGGGCGTACACACGGAGCCGTTGGACCCCCCAGAGCGTTGCGTATGCCGTCCTATTCACCTTGGGACCCGTTATAATTTCCGCAGTCGTTTAGTGCCGTATTCGGTCGTCCTTGTGTGGCCGAACGGTCTATATGACACTAAACAGTACCGCAAACGACCGTTTTTGTCCTCGTGTGGCCGGGGCATAAAGCAGAAGTAATGTTAAAGTGATAAATAAACTTCACATTGTTTGGTAAAACCTTAAATGCAATACAAACAAACAAGACCTAAAACAAAAGGCCATCTTCAAATCCTGCTACGCACACTTCAGTCCCTTCAATTTCAGTCAGAATTAGGTACTGATGTGCGCCGCATCGAGTAATAGTGCTTTAGTGGGGATTAGATTGTAGCTGCTATATGTTCATTTGGTTTAAAAGCACACAAAAGTGATAAGTTCTGCGCAAAAAGCTACATTCCATCTCTCTCTCGGCTCTCCACAGGATACAATTCAGTCACAAACAGGTGCTTCAGCTTCAACAAAATACAATTATTCATATTATAAGGCAGGGAAAATGTTTCCAATAAACATTAGAAAAGAAATGAATCAAAGACAATGATATAAACACAGGTGCAGTTAAATATATAGAGATATCAACCTTCAGTGCACACGCTACCTAGCCACACCCTCACTTGTGTGGCTCAGTAACAAGTCTGGATCAGTGTAATACAAGAGATTTGTAAAACTGCGGCAAAATAACTTAATTTCTTATTAGAGGTAACACGTTTACAACTCTGCATCGTCAGAGGCGAGACTGAAACTGAGAAAAATATACACTTATTTTCCTTTGTTTCCTATGAAAAATGACAGACTGTTTTTGACTTACAATTGGGAATGACTGGTCTGTTATGAGACTTAGTAACAGTAATAACGTTGTTTAATGTTTGTTTCTTCTTTCCATGCTCTAGTAAAGTGCCCATGTTGAGACTTTTGTGCAATCACAGGCTGGAGGGGTGGGCCTGCTGCTGAAGCTGCGCCTGGTGACCCGTCGGGGCCAACTCGCAGTCTTTAGGTCCTTGCCCCTCCCCCCGGGAGTACATGAGGATGAGGGCGACGGTGGCGAAAGTGGCTGCGTTGACGGGGAAGGCTCTCAGCAGCGTGGAGGTGAGGCCTCGTGTGAACACCATGTAGCCCTCTCTCCTGACGCTCTGCCGCACACAGTCGGCGATGCTGCTGTATCGGTACACCCCCCCCACCCCGTCCGCCTGCAGCCGCGATTTAATCACATCCACGGGATAGGTGGACAGCCAGGATGCGATGCCAGCCATGCCCCCTGCGAACAGCAGTTTGGGGATCATGAAGCGGTCATCTGGCTCACACCCGAGTCCACGCGTCAGCACGTCGTAGGCCAGGAAGTACACCCCGAAGCCGGGCGTCTCGCGGATCAGTGTGGTGACCATGCCTCTGTTCACGCCCCGCAGACCCTCCCGGTTGTAGATGCGTACCAAGCAGTCCAGGGAATTCTTGTACAACTTCCTGGAGGACTTCTTCTCTCCAGTACCCTGCAGCTGCAGCCGGGTTTTAGCCAGCTCCATGGGGCAGCAGATGACACACTGGATGGCGCCCGCTGCTGCGCCCGCCAGGAACTGGTTCATCGGGGTGTCGTGTCCCAGCAGACGCATGGTGTTCCCCTGGACTCCGAACACTATGGCGTTGATGAATGTGAGGCCCATCATGGGGGATCCGATGCCTTTGTACAAACCAAATAACTGTGCAGGGTCAGAGACATCGATGTGTATTAGACAACATGTTTTACACATAGCCAAAGTCTTAAAAAACAATTACATTTAGGGTCTCTAGATTAAATGCAACAGTTGTCTTTCACTTACATTACTCAGTTAATGGATAAAACACTGGTTTAATAATTGTTGAGGTCATATTTGGCAAAAGAACGTTGCTTATCATGCAATGTTTTCAGAGCTGGCTCCAATGCTAAAACTAATAGAAATACAATCATACACACTTTATCTTTAATTTTATCAGCACCACGTCACTATTATTTATTTATATGTACAGTTTTAGCAAGTTTTTATATTGTCCTGTTCCTGTAAGCCAGTACAACGAAATTTCGTTTTAATAGTACACTCTGTGTCTTGTTGAAATGACAATAAAGTATGTCTATGTCTATAAAAATACGGGTTTTGCACAGGTAAAACTCTGACATGTTTTACTGTGTTCCTATGTCAAAAAACTTGCAGATGAAATCTAGCAGGCTGGCTGCTGTTAAAAGCAGAATATGTTCTAGTGTAAACAACACATGTAGCTTACATCGAACAATTTCTGTCTTTCTATAATAAAGGTGCCTGCAGTAAACGTGAACAAAATGACCTGAAGCTTCCAAAGCAAAGATCCTGAGAATCGCTGCTCCTTCAGTTCACCTTGTCACAAAATATGTTTTTCACCACCACCATTCAACAGCTCCTAATAGATATTCTGACATTTGGAATAGAAAATCCTGTGATGTAAATATACTCCCTGGGCTAAAAATAACTGATCTAATTGTTAACAAAAAGAAAAAGATCACAATGTTAACACCGAAAGTGAAAACATTTTAAAACAGGGGAAAATCAATGGACAAGTCTGAACCCCCACCTAGAGTATCCAATATCCCACACTTAGGCCTCACTAATTAAAGTTCTGTCTTAAAATGAAGAGTGACATAACTCTGCTCTCAGTTCACTCTGACCTCACTACCTTTAAACAAGTAGAGGCCACAACGGCCATGTTGGCCGTACTTTGCTAAAGATAGATTGTGTCTAACATAAGTTAGCTGACCTAGAAGACACTGTGTATATAACCTAACCATAGATACTTATCGGTTATATTACAGCACGCATTAGAATTAGATTAGCATGGGAAATAAAACCACGTACCGTCTCCTGCCGAATGATGGACTGGAAACAGTGAAAGGTCCCACGGTACAGAGGCTTGTCCACACTCTGGACCTGCAGCCTCACCTGGAAAACAAGAAACATCAGTCTGTTAAAGCCAGAAAAAACACAGGTATACATACATATGTTTAAAGGTACAGAGTATAGCCTAAAAAGGCTTGTTATATAACTCGGTAATAAACAGTATTCTGTTCAAGAAAAAAAGCACTTGGCCCACCTTAACCGTGTCAAATGGGTGTCCAACCAAGACTCCAGCAGCCCCTGCAGGCAAGAGAAACAACATATTTAATCACAATAAATTGTACAAAAATAGACATAATGATAATTTTAACATCATTGTCATAAAAGAATACTAAAATTATTATGGTCCTTTTAACATAATTTACATTTTCTTAAAGACAATAAAAAATGGTTATGGTTTAAGGATTGGTACCAAATAAAGATATTTGTTTAAGTCTGTAGAATATGGTTTGTTGTCAAGCACTCAAATATTTGATTAAAAATGTTATTTTGACAAACATTGCAGCCTGAATTATTAATTGTTTTTCTCATGCAATTTAAAAGAGCAATTATGCCCACATTTGGATTAATTGTTCAGCCCTAATGGACACATTAATTGAATAAAATAGTTCAATTTTGGTTAATAAATTAATGACACCACAATTAAAAAAAATATTCTATCAGGCTTCAAGCTTCATAATCATCAACACAGTAGGTGCCCAATGTTATCATAATCATAAAGCAAAACTTGTGGGAGTTAAATACAAAGGTTTTTCAGATATTCAAGCACACACTAACACTGGTTGTTTTGCAGATCTGTCACTAAGCGTTATGTTATTTACTGCCAGCTCTGCCTTTTTGCACACAGTCCAAACATCTGCTAAGTCTTTATAACGCTTTATAACAATCTTTCTGATTACTTTAGCACAAACACATCAGGCCTGTTTAGTTCTTGGCCTATTTGACTCGTGTTTGAAGGCCAAACCTCTTGCTGCTGGCACAGTTGTGTCATTTTAGAGCGTTCCACCATCTCCTCCAGGGTAACACTACATTATCACCCTCTAAACTGTATTTGGAGCGCCTGTAAAAGTTACATAAGCTGTGCTCGTGAATCACATGCCCAAGTTCTGATGCCAGATTGGGCTTCTGATCTCTGTCTCCATTGTAACTTGATTACAGTTCCTGGAAAGGCCACAAACAACATTAGGCTTTAACCACAAAACAAACAAAGAATCTAAACTCAATCCAAAATAGGACAGCATTTGGGTTTTACAGGCAATGTGACGATATAAATTTGCCTTAATTGAGATATTTTGCCAACAGTTTCATTTATCTACTGGCCCACTGTGTCACAACAGTAAACAAACCACAGGAAGCTTATCCGTCATAAGCATGGTCATAAGCACCTGCTGTGTCACCTGACTTATTTGTGAAAAGGGCCAATCAGGAATGAGTCCCAACTGTAACCCAGGAAAAGAACACAAGCAGGCGTGGGTTTGACACAATGCTGATCGGTCATTGACCTCATTGCACTGCTCTGATCCCAGTGCTGGGAAAACAACAGGACGAGTACGTTTAATCATCGCTACTAAAACTGTTTTATTTAGTGTGCCAGCTTTGAATGCCAAAGCAAGCTGCTTTAAATGTCAACATCAGTGGTTTCAAATGTAAAGCTTTCGTTTTGACCAAAACAAGAACAAAGTGATCCTTAGTCAGCAGCAGCAAGCTTCCCATTTCCCTGAATTGTACCACACTGAGAGGGGTGGGATGTGCCATGAAAGTCAGTGTTAGGAAAGAAAGCACGGGATTGATCTGCGGTTTGGGGGTGTGTAGATTCACGTCATCTGCATATGGTGTGTGGAAACTTTAAACAGCCAAGCCATCTTAGCGTTAAAGCTCAGGTTGCACTTATGTAGTGTTTGCATGCTTGAGATTCTCAACAGGGTGTCCAAGTGGAGGGACACCAGGGAGAAATGCAGAAGGTTGGAGCATCCTTGGTTAGCAAGCACCTGAAATGTTTTTCCCATGTTAATCCTGTTGGAAATATCCTTCAAATTCTGTATTCAAAAGTGTGTAACATAACTCTATATATTAAGTGGTTTGCTATTAAAAACACTACTGTAGGACAACAAGGAAAATGTTCACAGGAAGTGAGCTCTCCAAAATATTGAGCTTCATATTTTCATCCTCTACTTGACCCTGGAGGTAAGGCAGAGTCATTTACAGCTTTGCTCAAAGTTTGCAACCAGGGCAAGTACAATCAGAGGTATTTACAACACTTGTTAAAGAATGACTTCCTGTGGTGGAATTTCAAAAATGCACTTGTAATCTTGAGATATAGTCGCATCACAATGGTAGAGATGGTTCATGTTTTATAACTGTTACAAGAGAATAACCAATTGGTATTTCGCTACGTATATGTTAATATAATTCCTCACATCAAGGTTGTCAAATGTACTCATCCAACACAATATAAGTGACTCACCTCCGATGCATCCAGCAACGAAGTCCATCGTCGCTCTTCAACGTCCCCTGAGAGTACCGGAAGATGGACTAAATATTACCTACCGTGAAACAGACAGTTACAGTCACCAACTGTGTGATCTACCGTTAGGTAGACTAATTGACACTTTCAGTTAGCGTCTATGTTAGCTAGCGCTGGCTAGCTATGTCTATGACCTGACAACCTACAGATGATGCAGCCAATTATATGTAATGTGGGTCGTATTACTAAGCTTGTCCTCTAATTATCCTCACAATACTCTCCTGTTGACCTTCTCAGTGAACTGTTCTGCCGTTTACAGTCAATGCAGACACCCTCACCGCTAAAGCTGTCTATCAAGGAGGTTTATTCTAGCACGCAAGCTAGCGTCGCCGGAAGTAACTAGTAATGGGCGGGATTTATCGGCCTCGCTAGAGTTTCTATCCAATCCGGATGAAGAGTTGTCGCCGACACCCCGCTTCAGACGTAATCCTCGTCACTCATTGGCTGCTCAGCACAATAACTCCCCAAAGTTAAAATGCGTCATAAGTGCATGTGATGTTTTGCTTTTGAAATCTCATGAATTCTCGTGTCAATGGATAGAGGCATTTGTTTCATAATTCAAACGTGTTTGGTTCGATAAATGTATGAAGCACTAATTGCATTATTCATTAATAGGCGGATTGTCAAATTATATCATCTGGTACCTACCCTTCAAATGTTCAGCCAAAAAGGGTTTCAAAAGTAACGTTGTCCTGTAAAGCCTCATATCATATAATATAGTTTGTATCATATCATATACAATATAATCAGAACATTAAGGTTTTGTGTTAATCGTTTAATTGTTGTGTATACATAACAAGTCTACTCTTTCGATACAGTAAATCTTTCGGCTGTCTTCGACAAAAGTCGGGATGAATGTTTGTAGTCGACCCGGCTAGTAGTCCTGTCACGCCTCCGCTACACATGTAACAGAAACATACTCAAGGTTACAGCATGCTGCTAGAGCAAGCATGTGGATTTATCTGACAAGTATCTGTTGGTCGTGCACCGTCTGACAGGATGCATATCAAGGATTTTGTGTCTGGATCCCTTGCAGGTAACAGCGCATTTGAGCCCTGCCGGTTTCTAATGTAACGTTAGCCGGTTGGCTAAATGGCTAGCTACTGTAATAGCATGATGCAATAACCATATAACAGCATATAGGAAGATTATATATTAACCCTGACATATATGTGTTACGTTGTTAAACATTGTGTGCTTCTCCTCTTATTCATGGTATACCTTGTTAAAACGCATGTCGTATACATGTTTCATTCATGTACACAGCCTGTGAGCAGTGTTACAGTTAGGCAACAAATCACCACGTTTGACTTTCCTCACATGTTGAAGGGTTGCAGTTACAGCTCATAATCTTTAGGATCGCTGTGTTTCTGTTCTTGTTCTGTGTCCTTGATGCTCCTCTCTTTTCTCTGGAAACACACAGGGGCATGTGGAGTTGCAGTGGGCTACCCTCTGGACACTGTCAAGGTAAACTGCAGTGGCCTCTATTTTAAACACGATGTCAATTTGGCTATGTGATGTGACGAAGGGGAATCATCATATTCCTTTTTTTTTTTAGGTCCGAATCCAAACCCAGAAACAGTTCACTGGGATATGGCAGTGTGCAGCGGAGACTTTTTCAAAAGAAGGGGTAAGTGGAACCGGTGTAACAAATAGTGCAAGCGTGAGGGTCGACAGGTCCTTTTTAAACAAGTTAGTATGTAACAGTTTCTAAAGTGTAACATGTTCACTACACATTTTCAACAACTTTCTCAGACAAACTTTATTCAGCCCTATGGCTGAAGATAACGATTACTCACAATTATTTCTCGATTAACCACTTGGTTATTTGATCAATAAAATGTTAAATTGTAAACAAATCACTGTTTCCGCCTATAAGACTTGTATGACATGCTCAACTGTCCTTTCCCCCCACCATTTAGTGATAATAAGTTCACTGACATAGTGGATTAAAAATAACAGCAAATATCCACATTTACGAATCAGAGAATTTGGACTTTTACTTGAAAAATATGATATTTGTTGATTGATTTAATTGTTGACAACTAATAGATTAATCTTTGAAGCTCTAATGCTCATTATCAAAGTGAATTGGGACTTGCATTAGCATGAAAAGACAGTTTATAGGCATAAAAAGTGAAGTGATAGATAATAATGTAAATGTGGTATACATGGCATTTATATAGCGCTGATCCTGGTGCTAAAAGACACTTTACAAGCAGGTAGAGGAAAGATGAGGAGGAACATTCTTAGCTTGCTGCTGCTCTGTGGTTCATCTTTGTTTCCTCTAATTTGTTTCATCAGGTGCATGGCTTCTTCAAAGGCCTGTCCTTACCCATCACTACGATCTCTATGACCTCCTCAGTGGTGTTTGGCACATACCGGAACTGCCTGCAATGTCTAAGTCAGGCGCGAGGAGGTGGTCCAAACACCAAACCAGAGGTCTTCCTGTCAGGCATGTTGGCAGGGATAGCTCAGGTAATGGATACGACTTTACAACCCCCTCTTTTTTGCAATGTATGTGTATATATGGCAGCTAAAACCCTAAAAAAATGGTTTTCCCTTGGTTTCCCTGATGTAGAGAGCCTTGCAGATAGTCTTAGTTATTCACATTTTGAGATATCCTCCTCTGATTCCTACTGTTGCGTCTCTGTTTATCTGCCTCCAACAGACGTCCGTAATGTCTCCAGGTGACATAGTAAAAGTGCGTCTGCAGTGTCAGACGGAGTCCAAGCGAGGCACTGCCAACATGTCCAAACCAAGGTACCGCGGCCCAGTCCACTGTCTGCTCAGCATTGTTAAAGAGGACGGGTTCAAGGGGCTCTACAAAGGAGCTCTACCACTCGTGCTAAGAGACGCACCATCTTTCGCCACATACTTTCTGACTTACACAACCATCTGTGAAAAGCTGTCAGACGGCAGCAAGAAAAGACCAGGTGAGAGCAGTCAACACCACGTTGATATCCACAAAAGGCTTATTTTTGTATTTTAATTGTCTTCTTTTATGCTCATCTCAAGATTCAAGGCTTTATTGCTTTTACAGTATGTGCACATTAGCTACAGTGTAGTAGATATGGCAATGAAAAACGTAAGTCACATGCTCCTCCAACAGTGCAACATGAATATAGGACATAAAATAAATAAAACAGATAAAATAGTGCAAGAGAATGTTTTGAGATGTGCAAAAATGTAGATACAAATCAAATAGAAATAGTGCAAGAAGAGTCTATATACAAGTATATATATACTTTGTTACAGCCCAAGTCATGTGATGATTATTATTATTATGTTTATTCACATGGTCACATTCAATAACTTGAATGAAGTCATTCCCGATTATTGAATGATTTATTCACAGCTCTTCTTCTTATCAGGGTCAGTCATCATGTTGTATCACAATCTAAATTGAGAGTGATGCAATAGCTGTAAACTTGCTCATAAACTAAAGCAGACGTATGCAATACTCATCCCTTATCAGTGCATTACCTAAAGGAAATGGGAGTTGGCAAGACCCTGGTTTGAAGAAGCAGATAAGAGTAATGGCACGGGAGCAAAGCAACGTTCTGTTGTAAAAAGACAGCAGAAAAACATATTTAGCCACCTAAAAAGACTGTGAACTAAAGCCATTTGATCTATTTATTATATCTATCTGGGTGGCAAAGTCATTGTCAGTGTTCTCTTCAGAGCCATCAGACTCCATTGTGAAAAAACATCAGGCAAGATTATTGTTTTGACATTAGTTCAACTTAAGTCAACTTTATTGTCAATCTTTCAGTTTGTGTGTACAGACAGAGAGACCGAAATACCGTTTCCCACAATCCAGAGGAATACAAAATACAAATATATATAAAAATATCTATACAAATATTTATATACATATATATATATATATATATATATATATCCATGTCAGAAAGGGCTGTCTCAAGATAAAGCGGTTAAATTATTGTTATTATAGCATAAACTGATTCATTTTAGGTTCATATAATACTGTTTGCGTCTTTGATGATATATCTCTTTTGCTAAGTACTTAATACAACCCTACTCCAAAAGATCCAATTGTATCTTTCAGAAATAAAAAGATAATGTATCTTCATCTAAATGTCAGTATCTTTTCATTTCCTCCAGCTTGGGGTGTTGTGATGCTGGCCGGTGGAATATCAGGAATGGTAGGTTGGAGTTTAGGAACGCCCATGGATGTGATCAAAGCCCGGCTGCAGGTGGACGGGGCGCGGGAGACGAAGCGCTACAGGGGCTTCATCCACTGCATCACTGAGACAGCCAGGGTGGAGGGGGCGGGAGTGTTCTTCAAGAGCTTAGGCATCAACTGTCTGCGTGCTTTCCCCGTCAACATGGTGGTGTTCGTCACATACGAGGTTCTCAACGGCTTCCTCCAAACAGGACATGACAGTGTTGAACAAACTCGGTTTGGGTTCGAATAACCTGCCTGCTGGTTGTTCTTGGGTTTATTATGTTTATAATGTTTAATTTGGAGGTTTTACATACATAACTGCATATACTTTTTTGTGAAGAAAATGTATTTTGCAGTGCAGTATTCTATTGGAACCACAATCCGTCTGTTACATTTATGCTTATATGCTCAGGGGTAATTTATCAGTACTACAAGTTGGACCACACACCTCTGACCACTAGATGGCCTCCCTGTCTAACTTGTTTTATCTGTATGTTAATGACAAGAGAACAGTTTGTATAACAGCTTCAGTCTTTAACCAGAAAAGAAGCATTACATGTAACCTCAACTGTTTGTAGACTGCTAATACATAAACTATATTTAACTTTAGAATAATTAATGAGCTGCAGCACGCATCATTTAGAGTATGATACCCGTCCAGTTCCTTGCTGCTTGTACTCCGAGTATTTCATTATTGACCAGTGAAGTGGTATTAGTATTACAATTTTGAGGTACTGTACTTGAGTATTTCCATTTCCTGCTACTTTCTACCTGTAGCATATAGAATAATACATTTAAACGACAGCCTTTGAAGAATTGTATTTACCCATTTATCATGTATTTTTGGATAAGATATGTGAAATTCACAAGCTATCCAAAGTTAGTTAATGAACATATGAATGGAGCAATAATTGTAATTTAAAGTATAACATTTTATTCTGAAAGTGGCTAGTTTCACTTTTTGTACATGATGTATGCTTAGGTCAGTGGAATTTTGTATGCAGGACTGTTACTTTAGGGCTGTGTAGATTATTTATACACTGTGATATTACTACCTTTACTTTACTAAAACATTTGCATCCAACACTGTTCATGACTCATTTCCAGCAAAATTGCAAAACTGGAC